AAGGTTTGAGAGATGGTGAAGGGCCAGATATGTAAGGGCTTGTAGGCTATGCCAAAAGTTTTGGATTTTATTGCAGAAAAATGGGAAAACTATTGAAGGGTTGTAATCAGACAAGTGATATGGTCTGCATACTAACTACAAAAAGATCATTCTGTCTGCAGAAGGAGAAGAGCTTTGAGAAGGCCATAAGTACTCAACAAGTGCAGCAAGTGCTGGTTTGAGGGAAGTAAAGAGAGTTATGAGGGCATATCTGATTCTCCCAATAACGTCCTTTCTAGTTCAAGATCCACCCTAGGGTCACGTACTGCTTTTAGTGGTCATATCTCTAAACAGGTTCCTCAGCCTTTCTTTGTGTTTTATGACCCTGCCATTTTTCAAGAATAGAGGATATTCTTCAAATACTATACTTCAATACTATAATGTTCCTCAGTTTGGACAGACTAAAAAATGAGAAAATGTTGTTTTTTTCTGATGTTTTCTCGTGATTAGATTGAGGTTATGCGTTTTTGTCAGTAATACCACGGAAGTGCTACTATATTCTTCAGAGTGTGTCATATCAGGAGGCACATGATGTCCATTTGTCTCATATTAGCTTTGATTGTTCTGCTAACTTTGATTCCTTGGTCAATGTGGTGTCTCTTGTATTTACCACGTTTCTAGCTTCTATAAACTTAATGCTTTACCGTTTGTCCTGCATGCATATGCCAGATGCACCTTGTTCTGGACAACCTGTTAATATGCCTGAGTCACCTTGCCTTGACTTCCTGCCTGTTTTTCAAATGTAGTCAATCCTAAACCTGCTTATTCTGCCTTGTCTGTTCCTTCCCATGGGAACCACAGTAAAGGAGCTTGCCCCACAGTTCTTTTTCCCTCTGCCTTCCTGCATGGTCCCCTGTGGCATGATGTGTACCCCCTCTCTTGGAATTTGTGAGTAAACTATATATTCAATGTCAGTTGTTTCACGATCTACTGACCTTACCATACCTTAAAAAAAAAAAAAAACCTATTAAAACATCTGCCAGATTTCTCTGCTTAAAGTTACTTTCCCTCCTTTTTCATTAATAAGTAATTTGTGATGAGATATCTCAGATTTTTTTGACTGAGATTCATATGAGAAATATATTTTACATGGTGACACAGTGTATGTGCGTGTGTGTATCACACACACTGAAACAGTAGTTTTATGAAGCAATACATATCCTTTCCATGTGAAATTTATTTTATACATGCATAGTCATGCAAGAAAAAAAATTTAGTTTCTATTCTGTTCTATTTCATTTTTTTTTTTTTTTTTTTTGAGACAGAGTCTCACTTTGTTGCCTAGGCTAGAGTGAGTGCCGTGGCGTCAGCCTAGCTCACAGCAACCTCAAACTCCTGGGCTCAAGCGATTCTGCTGCCTCAGCCTCCCGAGTAGCTGGGACTACAGGCATGAGCCACCATGCCCGGCTAATTTTTTCTATATATATTAGTTGGCCAATTAGTTTCTTTCTATTTATAGTAGAGACGCTCAGGCTGGTTTCGAACTCCCGACCTCAAGCAATCCACCCGCCTCGGCCTCCCAGAGAGCTAGGATTACAGGCGTGAGCCACCGCGCCCGGCCTATTTCATTTTAATATTATTCTTGACTTGACCTACTAAATTGATTTCATAATCCTCTAATGGGTAATGTCCTCTATTTTAATGCAAAGCACTAGTCTCATAGAAATATCACTTTGAATCATCTGGATGCAGGATGGAAAAATGGGGGGGGGTGCAAAACTGATAGCAAGGAGCCCGTTATAAGGCTCTTGCTATAAGTCAGGTGAGAGATGTTGGTGGCTACTGACAATGACGTTGAGAAAAGTGGTTGGATATGAGAGAGAAGTGAGTGGACTGAGGAATTTGAGTTAGTAGAATTTCATGATTGATTGCATATGGGGGTGAAGAAAAGAGGAGTCAAAAATGACATAAATTTTGGCTTGGCCTCTGGGGTGAATGGTAGAAGCTTTATGGTTCAGGCTTCATCATTTTGAGTGGGAGGTCTTAGGACATTGGTTTGGAGCTATTCATGGGGCAGTTGGCTCTATAGCACTCAGAAGGAAAATCTGGGTTGGATTAACAGCAAGCTGAAGTTGGATTTTGCTCAAGGAGATTTTACAATTTAATACCAACTGCAGGAAGTTGGCTCAGGATAAGAACAAATGCCCTGAAAATATTTCCAGTAATTTGGTGTTGAGATGAGTAAAATAATATAAATAAGCAAAAAATATATCAAGGAAGTGAATTAACACACATTTACTAGAATGAATTTCACTTTTCAGCATTTTCCTCTGTCTCTTCTGGTTTGACTGCTCTGAAAAGTCCTATATACATATCTGGAGACAGAAATGTGAAAAATAAAGAAATTGTCCATTTGCATTACTGATATATAATGCTGGCTTAAATGACAACTGAATTCACCTGGGCTTTCCCAGATGCTGGTCTATGGATTTAATCCCTCAGATCTAGCAACAGGCATTCACAGGCATAGATGTGGGAGATAAACACCTACATGGTGGAGGAGGTTTCAAGTGTCACGAATTTGGGATTGCATTGAGAAAACAGGTTTTTCTAGTGGAAAAGTGTACCAGTCTACATACACAGTATTGAGAATGATGGACCAAGTTCCATCAGTGGTCCCCTCCCACCCGTTCTCCCTCCTTCTTATTCTCCCTTCTTTTGCGTTATTCTGGGATTAACAGCGGGGTCGGCCCTATACACAAATGCAGCTGGCTAGTACGGTCAGCCTGAGCCCTGCTGTGCAACCACGTCAGGAATTCCAGTAAGTTGGCAACACTGGAGCACAAAGACAACAACAATGAGGAAAACCCTTCAGTGCAGAAAGGAATGTTTGGAGCCCCAGCTGCTACAGTGAAAACACACACACACACACACACACACACACACACACACACACACACACACACACACTTTCTCCTTTCTCTCTCTCACACACTCCTCTCTCTCACACGCGCCTGCGCGCCCACGCGCGCCCGGGGAAGGAGCCCAGCCCCTCCCGCACACTCGGTCCTCCCTCCGGCCCAGACGCGCGCGCCTCCTCACCGCCCGCGGCGGCTCTTTGTATCTCGGAGGTGCGGGGACGTTCTTTGACTGTGTAGCGCTGCCCCAGCGGGCGTCGGACCGGCCTGACCCCGGCGCGGTCTCGTACCATCGCGCCGGCCGCCTGGAACCGGCATAAATCACCCGCGAAGGCTGAAGGGCAGCATCGCGCCCCCTCGCCCCTTTCCTCCTCCCACCTGGGTCATCCCCTTCACTCCCCAGCCCCCAACCCTCCACTCCGGTCCCCAATCCTGCCTCCACCTCAACACTGCAAGGAGACAGAGTTCCAGTGACTTTGGCCAGAGCACAGACCTACAAGACTTCCCAATCCAGAAATCTCTAAAAGAGAAGCCACGAGATCTCTCCCGCCTTTTCTCACAACCCTGCTTTTTCAAAGTCTAAGTTGTTCGTTCTGCATTTATTTCTCTCTATATTTTGTCTTTGGAAAGTAGCACCTATCATGTCCCTCCCCTCCCAACCCCCTTCAACGCTGCACCAACCACTAAAGCCCACCGAAGCTTCGCTTTCTGGACTGCTGCGGCCGGCAGAGCCCCAGACGGGTCTGTGCTCTGGAGAGGCGGCTCTGGCAGTAACTGGCGGTTTCTCGCCCCAGGGGAGGGGAGGCAGCGGGACTCTGCCCAGGGACCACGTGCATACAGGGCTTCCCCGCCATGCGCCACTCGCCTGAGGGAAAGGGCTCCAGACTCCTTGGGTCAGGACCCGACGCCCGAGGCCCGCCGTCTAGCTGGTTCCCAGACCAGGGCAGGAGATTATGGGACAACCTCAGGCCCGGAAACAGCCCTTCCTCAAGCAACAGAGCTCCCAGTTGCACCAATTTTCATTTTTTTCTGTGGACTCTGGTGTCACATAGAGGCTGAGGACCGTGCGCTGGGAGCGCGTGTAAGGTTCGCTCGCAGTGCTCTTGGGGGCCGGGCCCCGCCAGCCAGCCCGTCCAACGCCGCCCTGAAGAGGGGACCCGCGGGCTTCTCTGAACCCCCTGGTGTTTCTCCCTCTTTTTTTTTTTTTTGTATCATAAACTATCTCTTACAGGAAAGTGTTTCTCCCTTTTATAAACGGTCAGCGTCACCACCGAGAAGACGTTCATTCCTTTTTTCTTCAAAATGAACAAACTTGTAAGAAGCTCTACACTTGTAGATGTGAGGCTTAAGAAAAGCAAAACATTGATCCAGACCCTCCCCAATAATGATCCAACTCTCTCTCTAATTTGTAAAAGCACTGAGCACCCCCTGCTCAGCAGCTGGTACCCTATTAGGGGAAACCAGGGAGCCCAGAGAGTTCAGGCCAAGAATGAGCGTCACAGATCTCTCTAGTAGGCTCTCTAGCCCTTCCCTTTCCCCTTCCTCTCTCCTGTCTCTTCCTTTCTCTTTCCTTCTTATTTGTCTTGCTTTTCTTTCCTTTTCCATTTCTTATTTTTTCTGTCTTCTCCACTGTCGGCTTTTCTCTCTCTCCATTCCTTTCCATTGCTCATTTAGTTTCTGAGAGATGCCGGTGGCAGATGTCCCAGTGAGCTGCCGAAGCGGCTTCTGTGCGGGGCAAATCCTTTCGAAAGGTGAGGGCAGCGGGTGTCAGCGTGTGAGTGTGCCTGGACGTGTGCGAGAAAGAGGGCCTGTGTATGTCGTTGTTCAAGTGTAGCTGTGGCATGTGCGCGCGCGTGTGTGACTCAAGAGTGTTTGAGTGAGCGTGTGAGACTGTGCCAGTCTGTGACAGTGAGGAGTGTGTGCCCCTGTATGAGGACGTGTGAGTGTGCGCGCGCGTGTGGAGTGTGCATGTGTGAGCGCGCGTGTGCTCGAGGGCCCACTCCTCCCCGCGCTGCAAAGTTCAGGGGGCGGGCCAGGCGGCAGGGGGCCTGCCCTGCTGGATTCCCGCATGCTAGTTCCGGGGCGGTCGGGTCTAAAGGGCTTTATGCACTGTCTGGAGGGTGGGGACTGGCGCGGGTAGAAAACGGGATGCCTCGGGCGCGGGGGCAGGCTTTCTGCCACTAGGAACGGGCCGAGGCGCAGACCTAAAGGAGTGCTCGCGAGCCAAGGCTGCCGGTGCTGCGTGCGACGCGCGCCCACTCCCGGGGAAGGAACGGCGAGGCCGGGGACCGCAGGGATGCAGCGCGTGTCGGCAGCGGTGGCGTGCACGCTGCTGCTGGCTCTTGCCGCCTGCCCGGCGCCGGCCAGTGGCCAAGGTAAGCGCCTGCTGGCCGCGGAGCGCCCAACTTCCTGGACCGTGGCTGGGTCGGGTCCGCGGGATGGCGGAGGGGAGCGTGACCCGGGAGGGGCCAGGGCAAGGCGGCGGCGCCGGACCTGCTCCCGCCGGGGCGCTCAGGTTGCCCCGCGAGCGGCGCGCGGCAGCGCCCCTCAGCCCGCCCGGGAACTGAGCAGCGGCAAACTTGAGAAAGCAGCCCCGCCGGTTTCAGTGACAGCGCACCCCACGGGGACTCTTTCTTTGTTCCCACGGGCGTTTGTGCTGACCCTTCTGAAAAGCAATTGCAGTACTAACCGGGAAAACGAGGGTCTCTCCTCCAGTCTCCAGCCTGCTCTCTCCCACGGACTTCTTCCGCCCGGGGCTGAGGGGTCCCTGGCGCCGCTCCGAGCGCAGCCGTCCACCTGCAGCGCCCTGCCGGGGAGAGCCCTTTGCGCGCCCGCGGCCACGGGCCAGGGCACCCCCCAACACCGGCGAAACTTGGTCCCGCGGTGACCCCCGAGAGACCGCATCTCATGATACAGATCGTTTACGAGCCAAGATAAGGCTGGGAGGTGGGATTGGTGGAGAGAGCGGCTGTTAATACTGGAGTATTTTCTTGAAGGGTTTCCCTTTCCAGCCGGGAGGTGGGGGCTTTTGTGTTGATGAATGGGGCCCGTCAGAGTTTTGGTGCTCGAATGCACGAAGTTTCTGGCATGAAGTGCTTTAAACTTCTCTCACGTTGTCGGAGAGTTTATGTTTTTACAGAAACAGGGAAGAGGGAGAGAGAGGGAGGAATAAGCGGAGAGAATAAAAACAGTAAGAGGGGAAGAGGAGAGGGAGAGACAAGTAGAGAGGAGCCGGGAGAGGAGGGGAGAGCGAGCGAGTGTAGAGAGCGAGATCCAGTGAGCACGGGGTGGGGAGGGGAGGGAGAGAGAGACCCCGGAGATGAATGAGAAGGGCTAGGCGGCGGCTGGAGAACGGGCGAGCTCTCCCCCTGGCTTTGCGTTGCTAGGTAGCGGTCCGGGAGCCGCGTGTGACCGACCACCAGACAGACAGAGCGGACGCTGCTGCCACTGCGGGGACTAATCTGTCTGTGGGGATGGGAGAGTCCCCCCTGCTCCTTCCCTCTCTCCGACAACCTAATTGTCCTACAATGAAAACGAAACACCTATTGTTGTAGGATTAGCCAATGCAATAAATTGATTTTCCTGGATCACATATTAGAGTTGACGAGTGGGGACTGTTGAAGCCCCCGTTTAGGAGTAGAGGGGGGAGGGCTTGTGGATGGGCCGTGGCATGTATTCAAATGGTTAATCTGCTTTCTTTCCTCAATTCTTAGCGTAAGCTCCTTAGAGAGAATCTAGTGAGTATACAGCAACTCCTAGCAGCACCCATTTCAGACTTCCTGGGAAGAAGTTTGGAAAGGCTAACAAACCCCACAGGTCTTGCAAAAAATCTCTGCAAAGGGAGGGGAGTCAGGAGGAGGCCGTTAACAATACTGCCTTTGAACACCTTTTCTCAGTGTCGGTAACACAGAAAGAGGTTTATTATTATTGTGGAGAGTTTGCACAGTGTTTCAGGTAATATATACCTCATGTCCTAAATAAAGCGATAGGATTTATTATATGTTCTGGTCAGTGCCTGTCAAAAGGAAATCTTGCCTTGATTCATCTACAAATGTCCCTTGGAGAGCCAGAACAGATATTCTCTTTCCTGGGCTGAGGGTTTAGTCATTATATAACCAGTACCTATTCTTGGTAGTTTCTTCTGTTCATCCATTCTAGGATAATAACACAATAATATGTATATTAATAACAACATATTATATACTTATATAATGTTATATTTATATAGGTGGCAGGCCCTGTTCTAAGCATTTTACTTAATGACTTATTTAATTTTTATAATATCCCTTTGAAGTAAGTACTCTTAATATCCCTATTTTACAGATAGAAAAATGGAGGCACGAAGCTTAAGTAATTTGCCCACGGTCTTACCATTAAAAGGGCAGACCCCAAAGATTCTAAATCCAGAGGACTTAATTTAACCCATACAGTATATGGCTCTTTGTGTTTCTCTTCTTTTGGACTGAAAATGTCATGTTTCCTAAGTTACTATCTGTGTGTGAGGTTACTAAAGACGCTGAGGGGCATTTTCCAAATCTTTATGGTGTAAGGCAAAATCCACCTGCTGCTTCATAACTGTGGATGTTTTGTCAGAATTTCTTTTCAGGTTTCTGAGACCTGGACTTAAGTCTCTTCATTCCGGTTTTCATTTTTAGATACACATTCTCTGAATATCCTTAGCCTGGTAGGTTGAGGAGATTTCTTGATTCCTGTTGTAATTATCCTGACTTCTATATGAAGTAAAGTATGATGACATTGTAAATGCCTTCATTAGCACATTTTACATAGGAGCCCCTGTGAACTTTGCATCACTAGAAATTGGAAAATAACTCTCTTCTATAGTTAGTCTTTTGTTTGTTTGTTTTTAAGAATTATATCACATCTGTAGTTAAAAATTATTTGCATTTTCCTTATATTTTGTATAAAGTTTTTGAAGAAAAAATTTGGGAAGTCTGAACTCTGGAATCAAGCTTCTGGGTTCCAACAATGGCTGCACCACTTCCTAATAATGTGAGTCTGAAGAAGTCATCTAACTTTGCATAGCTCAGATGGTTTATTATGTCTCTAATTATCATGTCATTTGCAATATTGAGAGACCCTATCCCATGGTATTCAGTGAGCATAAAGAGATAAGATATGTAAAGTGCTTATGATTTTGTAGACAATGAAAATAAACTAATAGTTATTTTTATGGTATTTATCAACATAGAAAATAACATTTTTTGCTTATTCATATTTCCAATTTTCAAATTTTTAAGCATTTTTCACTAATAGTTTTTTGATGAATTCCCAGATCCCAGGGAAACCAGGATTTCGTGTTTTTTTTTTTTTTTTTTAAGAGATAGGGTCTCACGCTGTGCCCAAGTTGGAGTGCAGTGGCCTAGGACAACAGCACACACCACCACGTCTAGCTAATATTTCTATTTTTTGTAGAGATGGGGTCTTGCTATGTTGTCCAGGCTGGTCTTGACCTCCTGACCTCAAGTGATTTTTTTTTTTTTTTTTTTACCTTAGCCTCATAAAGTGCTGGGATTATAGGCTTGAGCCACCAGGCCTGACTATGGTTAGAACGTTTTTTTCTGTTTAGAAAATAGTATTGATTTGAAACAAAGATATATTCTTTAATTCAATAAAATTTGGTAATGTCATTGAGAGTATCAGCTTTTATGACAATTACATCTTCACATGAAGTTTATGTATTTAAAAGGATTATAGGAGTAATAACAAACATGAAATATTTTTGTTCCATGACACGTCTGGTACCTTGCCATTGCTTTTATTTCATAGCACTTGGCTTCTCTCTCTTTGCTTGAAAAAGTTCTTTGCTAGTCTTTTTTCTTTTTCTTTTCTTTTTTTTTTTGAGATAGAGTCTCACTCTGTTGCCCAGGCTAGAGTGCTGTGGCATCAGCCTAGCGCACAGCAACCTCAAACTCCTGGGCTCAAGCAATCCTGCTGCCTCAGCTTCCCGAGTAGCTGGGACTACAGGCATGTGCCACCATGCTCGGCAATTTTTTTTTCTCTATATATTTAGCTGTCTAATTAATTTCTTTCTATTTTTAGTAGAGACAGGGGTCTCGCTCATGCTCAGGCTGGATTTGAACTCCTGACCTCAAGCAATCCACCCGCCTGGGCCTCCCAGAATGCTAGGATTACAGGCATGAGCCACCGAGCCAGGCCCTTTGCTAGTCTTTATAGGGCTTCTGCCTGAATACCATGGGCCTGGTATGTAAAACTTAGAATTTTTACAGCTAGAGGGGAACCTTAGATATCAACTAGTCTGCTTGCATTATTTTACAGATAAGCAGTTAGGAGGGGATGGGGTGGGCATGGGAGGGGGGGGAATTTAAGGAGTGAAAGAGAAAGGAATTAAGTGCCTTGCCCAAGGGCATGTGGCCTGTGATAGAGCTAAGATGCCAAGATATGAACTTGCAATTGACCATTTTTAGATAGATGTCCTCTGAATGTCCCCAACCTCTTTGGTTGAGGAGATTTCTAGATTCCTTTTGGTCTATCTTGACTTATCAGCTGAGGCACAGTATGATGAATAGATAAATCTTTAAAAATAAATTGGATGGGTCTCCTGTCCCAGGCCAAAGAAGAATCTTGTGATAGGTTAATATAGCTATGTACCATGTGCTTTCAGCTTGGGTTTTGTAGTGCATACTGTTATAGGACTAGGTTTTTAGTCTTATTCAAGGTAATTATTAGGTCATGGTTTTAATTGTTCATGTTTTCTAGGCAGGCACTCTAAGAACACTGACAGGGTTTTAAATTTTTTAAATTAAAATTGTTTATCATTTTTAAACATTGATATCAAGAACCTAGATGTATTTCCTATGTGACTAGAAACAAGCACATTGTCATATTGGCTTTGGGATTTCTATTAAGTCATACTAACTAGGGTAAGTAGAAAGTAGAAGGTGCTGATGGGAAAGGGACTCATTCGCAAGGTTAACTGCTTGAATATAGAGCAACTAAAAACGTACTAACTGTGAAGCCCCATTCTAGTATGAGGAAAATGAGTTTGACGGACTCTTTTATAACTCAATGGTTATATCTTACTAACTTTATGATCCTGAGGAATTTAAAAAAATTGTTACCACTATGGTGTATTCCACATTTATTTTATGTTTTTTCCACAAATATTTGTTAAGTGTCTATAGTGTGCTGATGAGTCAATAGTATCAATACTACAGAAAGATTAAGGAGGATGAGAAATGAAAAGGAGTCTAGACTTCACAATTAGAAGGGACTGCATCCTCCAAGGTCCATGAAAAAAGGCAAAAAAAAAAAAAGTAAAAGAAAATTAATTTTTAAAATATTAAAAAAATTTAAAAAAAAGAAAAAAAAAGAGAAGAGACTGTGGTTTGGCATT